ATGCTATTGATTTTATATATTGATTTTTGTATAGTTTAATCTTACTGAATCCATTAGTTCTAACAACTTTTCAGCAAAGGTGTTTAAGTTTTTTTCTGTTTTATTATAGGTAAAATTTCCAAATGGGGATACTCTGACTTCCTCCTCTGTTATCTGAACGATCTTTACTTCTTCTCTTAACTGCTTCCTCGCTATGACTTCTAATACTAGATTGGATGAGAATTGTGAAAGTAGACATCCTCATCTCGTGCCTGATTTTAGATGATTTTCAACATTTCCCTTTTCAGTACATTGCTTGCTATGGGTCTGTCACATGAATCAAATACCTAATTATTTTGGAACTTTGGGAATAATTTTTAAAAAATTCTGATTCATTTTCAGAAAAAGTATTCATTTATGAGAGAATCATATAGTCATTAGCAAAGCTATTTCTTCACATCTTGACTGTAATCGAAAGACCAAAAATAGAGCTAATAAAAGAGTACCACTTTGCCTCTAGTTATTAAAATTAATGCTAATTTACATTTATGTTTTGCTCCTTGAAAAGTAGACCTGCCTTAATTAAATATCAAAAAGTTCTAACACTTACTAGAAATGTACATTTTTCACATGTATATATATATTTATATGTTGCTCAAATCTTATACATTTTATTTTTTTTTTTAATTTTTTATTTATTTATTTATTAGAGAGAGAGAGAGAGAGAGAGAGAGAGAGAGACGCCAGCTCAGCCCACCAGGGGGCGGGCTGGCTGGCATGTGGTGCTGGGGGATTGAACCGCGGTCCCTGATGCTTTTGCTAAGCTTGTTCTAAGTAGGTGCTTTAGAACACTGAGCCATCTCTCCAGCCCCCTTTATACATTTTAAACTTTGAATTTTTCTTGTTTTTTTGGTACAGGGTCTCACAACACAGACTGGACTCCTGGTGATCCTCCTGTTTTCAGCCTCCCCAGGGCTGGGATTACAGGTGTGCGCCACCGCTCCGACGCTGGCTCAGTGTGCCATGGGGGCAGGGCCATCATGGCTGAGTTGTTCAATACATGAAGATGTTATATAAATAAAATAATATACTAAAATTTCACATCTTCTTCGTAAAGAGAAATGTTCCCATTTCAGAGGTGCACAATGATTCAAGCAACAATGAAAAAGAAACAAAAATCCTAACGCTAAACATTAGCTATGGAACCACCTGGAAAAGAATATTCTGTGCCATTTTATCTACAATATTAATTATAAACCCAAAAGACACATTCTATGCTCAGAACTATGTAAAGAAAATCAGTCTCTGAACATATAAATAAGATGCATTAAACACTATGAAAGTATTTTACAAAGATTATCAAATATTTTTTTTAATTTTTGCTCTCAAATACTATTTTTTAAATTGGTTTTGTTTGTGAGAAATGGAATGTATACCTTTAGCAGGCCTTGTACAAAGAGCCCTGATTCATATTTAAATGATGATTCAGCTTCACATAATCTGGAGCATTTCCTCTCTGCTGGAGTTAGAAAAAGGCATAATGTTCTCACTATCTAAAAAAAAAAAAAAAAAAAGAACTTAGCATTAAAATGTTTAGTCAAAAAGAACAATGGTTTGCTTACAAAAGAAATTTAAGCAGCTATTTTTGTTATTAACAATAACATATATTTCAAGTAGTAAGTACTCCTTAGCTACTGGAAAAGTCCATGAGATACAACACTTACTGCTTAAAAGAGAGATTTTTGTGGCAAAATATTCTCTTTATGGCATCTTAACTCTGTAACATTTGAGTATATATTGGGATTCTTCAGGTGAATAATGCAAGATAGCCTTTCTCAAACTTAATTGACTATGAAATCCTGATTTCAGTGGGGAATTAATGATAGAGTACAATGACTAATTGCATCTCTACCTAGCAACAACTATTTGTAATGCAAGCAAACAACTTTAAAGAGGAAAACTAAATGCATTTAAATTAAGCAGAATTACAGCTTTTGTTATAATAGTTCTACAGGCAAATCCCATTGTAACAAAAATCAAGTGGTGTCCAAACCATTCAATAGAGAATTCTACCAAATTTGATTTAAAATAGGCCAGGTATAGGTAAAGGGTTAAAAATCTCCGATTCTTTCAGTTTGACCTCCAGCTGTTAGGAAAAATGAAAAAGCCATGTACCTGTATTAGAAATCATGCTATATCCAGAGTCATTATATTAAAGCAGTGCTTTTCCAACTAGAGCAGTAGCAATTGTTTTTTTCAAATTAACAGATAAAAGGTGATCTATTCAATGTACAGAGGATGAAAGACAAGAACAATATTTAATAAACACAGCCCCAACCATAGAGCACTTTTTCCTTCATAAAGCAGACTCAAAGTCCTACGGAATTGTCATGTATTGGGATTACAAGTGGCAGGCCATCTTTTTGGAGTAACTATGATTACTACTCCTTAGATGCAATAGTCTATCTCAGGAAGGTATAGAATCAATCATAAATAGTGATACAAGATGCATAATTTTGGAAAATTAAAGGTTATTTAGCAATTAAATAAATAAAATCTTTGTGATACAAATAATTATTCCCACCTTATTTCTTTGTAAAACTTTTTTTTTTTTTTTTAATTAAGTCTGCTTAAAATACTAAGAATATAAACACTTATCTCTGGATTCTTCCTTTAGTGAAAAAAAGTGTAGTCTCTTAGTTTATTGCTTAGTGCTTAAAAACATAACTTATTAATACTTTTTAACTCAAGTAGCACTGAAGAATGTGACAAAACAGTATTGAAGAAAGCACTATCTGCACTGACCACTTAGTAGCAACAGCTCCTTAAAGGGGACAGATGTGTGCAGTGTGTGTGTGTATGTGTGTGTGTGTGTGTGTGTGGGAAGTGTTGACATAACAAAAATCAAATGGATACTCAAATGTCATGTTTGAGGACTAACACCAAATGTGTATGGCTATCTTTATGTTTATCAAAAACAAAACCGGGAAAGAGAGGACAATCATTTAAAAGAATGTTTGATTTTAAATTATTCTCAAAATCATTTTATGTACAGCTAATACCTGTATTTATGAATTGTCATAAATGTGAAACTAATAACTGAATTCCTACTTACAGTTTTGTTCAAACTCATTTTGCCACAGAATATCATGGTAATTTGCTAAGACTATATTGTAATCTTGTATTATTAGGCCATTTCAAGAATTGCAAAAAAAAAAAGAAGCGCAACCCATGTAAATGTTAAACAAAGACATGTCAGGAGTACTAAAAAGTCATAATGTCTTCTCAATTATAAGTTACCTTGTTTATTTTCTCTGCACTGCTGCCTACGACAACAGAACAGCCACAGGTCTGCAAGTGTGAGCTGATGGCACTGCAGGTAAAAGATGACACTGCTTTAAAAAATTTCACAAACTGAAAAGAAAGTGAGCTTCAAATAACTCCGAATAGCTTTATCTGATAAACATCAATAGGGCATGTTATTTTTATTTATTTATTTTTCCTTTTTTGTGTTTTCAGTACAGGGTTTATAGAATCTCACTACACAGATTGGACTGGTAGTGACTCTCCTGTTTTCAGCCTAGCAAGCACAGGGATTACAGACCAGTGTCACCACGCCCAGTCTCATTCTCCTTCTCAGCACGCCCCAGGGGTGGGGCTGGCACAGCACACCGGGGACTGAACTCCCATCAATGTGCCTGCTTAAGCAGGTGCTTTAGTCCACTGAGCTATCTGCCTGGTCTTAGGCATGTTATTTTTACTGGTATAAAAATAATTTTATTTCCTGTCACAGAATTTGTCTCCATTAAAAATGAGGTAACCCATAACTAGTTTGTAAAATACCACATTTTTATAAAGACAGAGACCAAACTGATACATAAAAAGGTTAAGTGATTTAAAGGCAAATGGGATTCAAAATAATACATGAATGGTGATATCAGTGAACTGAGACCTAACATACTTTTGACTCAAGTCATTAAGACTGTTAGCTTAAATGTTCATGCCTCTCATAATTCATTATGAGACTAAAGAAAAAGAACGTAAACATCAAAGTGAAAATTGTTCATTAACTTCTCATTTTAAAAACATATTGGTGATAATCTGTAAATGTAATGAAATACTAAAATAGAAGATGGGATAACAAATGTACAACACATAACAGTAGGGAAGAATACTCTAGCACTCAACAAATGGGTGCTATTAATTTTTTTATTTTCTGTAGAAATATAATTAGAAAATGTCACTATTGAATACTAAGAGATTTTACGTGCCAAACACTGCTCTAAGTGCTGTGTATGATCTATCTCATTTAACACCTATAACAGCCCTATAAAGTATTTACTATCATGAAATGAGGAGATGGAGGTACAGGTGCTTTGGGTAGTTTTCTCTAATGTTACAAAGCAATAACTAAAGCAGTCCAATTTTACTTTTTTTGTTTTCATTTTATGTATTTGGTACAGGGTCTCACTATGCAGCTTGGACTCGCAGTGATCCTCCTGTTTTCAGCCTTTCCAGTGCTGGGATAACAGCATGCGCCCCCACTCCTGGACTTGTTCACCAATTCAGAGCACCCTAGGGGTGGGGCCGGCATGGCATGCTGGATCAGGGACCAAACCCTGATCCCTATCCTTGCCAAAGCAGGCACTTAATCACTGAGCTATCTCACCCATCCACAGTTCAATTTTAGAGACCACTCTAAACTATATGGTTAGATAGAAACGATCAGGTCAAATATGATTAAATTCCATTCTTAAAGCTAAATAAGGTAAGCCATTCTCCAATGCAACTTAATTTGAAAGGTTTCTGAGTTTTAGCCTTAATGGGAAGTAAAATAAGAAACCAGAACAAAGGACTAAGATTGCTTGCTTGTGTGGGAACTATGGAAACTCAATTTCTTTAAACTGTAAAAGGAGTAACTGCAGATCTATCAGACATATGAGTAAAAAATAGCATGTATTAAACAACAACCCACATGCACAATGCAGTCTTTAAAATAATCTGAGCAGGTACTTTATTATTTTCATGCCTCCAAATCTTGTCATAAGTTGACCATAAGATTATAACCTGCTTCAGCCAGAATTTAGGAAAAGAAACAAAATTCTTACTTGAGAAGAAAGCCTTCATGACAACTGTCACCGATATCATCATCATTGAGTACTGTATCAGCTATCTAAAATATACCAGAAAAAAAGTTATTCTGGCTATGACAATGTTGAGAGAATATTTTTAATACCTAAGCTTTCTGAAGTGTAGATGAAAACACATTGCCCTCATTTCTGTGCATCAAGAATATCCATAAAACAATCTCTATGCCCTATCATAACATGGGAATGGACAAATGTGAAACCTGGTAAGGCAGGTTAAGCAACAGTTTCTGTAAGAACAACTTCCTCTTCTCAGTTGTCAGATTCAGGAGACCAAACTTAATGACTCTGTCACACAGAATTGAGGAATATATGATGCTTATTTGTTTGTGGCAAATACTTTACATAAATAGTATGACAAAATGCATAGTACTAAAATTTGAATATCACTAGTGAACACAATGGTAGAATTCAAGGAAATTGGGAAGGGATACAATGACCCCATAAGATCTTACATCTATCTCTTCAGGAACACTATGGGATTTCATAGATGAAAGCAGTTCCATCACAGGAATGACTTCTCCAGTAAGCATTGGAATAATACTCTGACCCTGAAAAACAAAGTAAAATAAAGAAATTCACATAATATGGAACAAGCTAGGCAATAAAAAAATTAAAAATAAAACAATGATTACACTCTTTGATAAGAATGCTTGGTGATTTATTGAAAATCTACTCCAAAATATTTCTAAAGTATTTTCATGCTATTTAAACTCGCTCTCATTCTTTCAAGAATTTTCTTTAGTGAGCATGGAATTTCTGCTTTTTCATTTACTGTTACAAGCTTGAATTAAATGACCACGTCAAATTTAGAAAGGATCTCCTTTTAAAGGCCATCAATATGTTTCCTATTTAAAACTGAGGAAAGTCAAATCAGATGTGGTGGTGCACAACTGTAACCTCAGCACTCCAGAAGGCTGGGTCATAAGGATCACAAGTTTGAACCTAGCCCGGGCAACTTAGCAAGAGTGCCTCAAAATAAAAAAGAGATGGAGATGCTGCTCGTTGCAAGGCACTGGATTCAATCCCCAGCACCCCTCCTCCAGCTACCCCAACATTCCCACAATAACAAAGGAAAGTCAAGCATAAAACGTCTTTGAAATCCTTACCATAACTTACTAGTAAAGCTTCAACCAATACCAACCTCTCCCTATTTAAATAGAGTACAATCTATTCAACTGCAAATGATAATTTTCACATACCGCTAAGGAATCAATGAAACGTAAGAGGTTCCTTTAGAGATCCTTTGAACTATTTATTATGTCTCAAAAATATAATTTTGACCTTAAATTTTCTGAAGTCAGTTTTACAGCCCAAACATAAAATGTTTCAAATATAGGTGAGTCCTCATTTATTCAGTAAGCACAATCAGTTTTATGACTCACCTAAATAAGTAAACTTTTAGAGAGGTAAATGAAATCATCAAAATGTTTTATCTAAATATATTTTAAAAATTATATAGTCAATTTACTAAGCTTTCTTTGCCTATTCAGACTTCATATAATTATCTTTATTCAAACTCTTCATATATATCTTTAAATTATAACCTGTTATCCCAAGAGGCATTCTTTGAGCAACTTAAAGGTTTTCAAAGCCACTTATCATGGAGGTTGCTTAATTTGATAGCCTGCTATCTTTGAAAATTATATCCAAAGCCATTAATGTCTTTCTGTAATATACAAAGGCTCATTATTTTTAAAAATTCATCTTATAGTTACCCCCAAAATAACAATTACTGTTTTTGTTTTTAAAATTGTTGAAATGTTTGTTTACAATTAACACAAGCAATCCAAGAAAAATCACTCAATTTATGTCAAATTTCTTTCCTTGTTAACTGATGCTATCAGATGACAGCTATATGCATTCATAAGTAGCAAGGACCAAAGTTGTTTCAGACTACTGTACTATTCCCCACGTCATATCTACTGTTCAACATAAAGCTACTGAAAACATTATGTAAGAGGTTTGAAAGGACTCAATTATAAGGCAATTCCACTTCAGAAAGGATAACTTTGAGATAGCATTTCTGTTTAGGTTTAGGCACATACAATATTTTGGACATGGAATCTCAGACACTAACATCATTTTCAGTGAATGGATGGCATCATCTATGCTCTGTAACAACAAAAATCCTTCAGAGCTGAACAAGGAAGAGACTATAAAGGAACTTTCCCTAGTTTTTTTTTTTTTAAATTCCTTGTACTTCCTCTTCTTTTCAGTATGACATTCCCCTTGAAAGTCCAGTCTGTCCTAAATACTTTCTTCCGGATATAGGGTAGGACAACATTTTCAGGAAGAGCCCTTAAAAGACAGGCAGAAATTAATTGTATTCAATCTTCGAAGTACAAATTTCTGGTTTGAAACAAAAAATCCCAAATCCCACTACAAGAAGCTTTTTATTTGCTCCTGCATATTCTTATCTTGAGATAATTTAATTACTCTGTATCAGGTTAGAAATCAGTGAGTGAGCCCATTCCTAAAAACTCTGCTTACTATCACACTATGCATGGAAAGCTATTATTAAAAAGGTACAAACATAATAATTTGTAAATAAGGACATTTTACAGGGATAATTTATATTTTATTTTCTCAATGTTTTTGGGTTTTCTTGTTTGTTTGTTTTATGGTGCTGAGGATCAACCCTCAACTGTTGTGCAAGCTAGCTAAGCAGGTGCTCTCCGCTGGGCTATGCTACCAGCCACTCAAGAGATATTTACAATGTTTTTTAAAAAAATACTCCTGTCTTAATTATGCTATAGAGAACCAGAGAAAAGGCAATATAGATGAGTTTAAAAGACTGGAGTTTAATGAGAAGGAACAATGAGGGAAAGTGGCCTGCCGGGTGATTAGGCTCAAAGTTAAAAACCCTTCAGCAATGCCCATTTTGAACATCTCTGTTCCACATGATAAAGAGGACTTTGATTCATATAAGAGAAGTCATCATACCCTTGCAGTCATGCCTCTGACTCTAGAGCTATTCCCAAGGTCATCAAAGTCACTGGATAAACGTGACACCTCATCCTAAGGGTCAGTGCTACAGAAGGTAAGGAACGTGACTGGCAAAGTTTAATATTAAAACCAATAGTGTATCATGGAATAAAGTAAAATGCGTGACCTTTTCAAGATATCACATAAGACTTTACAGAGATACTGTACTAGAGCTGTGCTGTACCTGCAGATAGCTAAGAGTACACTCACTCTTTTTGTTGCAGCTATTTCTGTGAAAAAAATCTGAGAAACAATATTTAAAAACACATATATACTTCTTTTACTGTGAACCAGTTATCCCAAACTTATTCTGCAAATTGAACAAAAGAAAGTTATATGGACATGAAATTATCATTTGCCTTTATTTAACTTTCAGATGTAAAATACAGAAATTTTCATCCATATACATCTTCATAAACTCCATATCGATGACTCCTCTTCAGGCACACCAATGAACTATTACATCTTTAAGCCCGTAACAGAAGTAGCTATCACCCTTAAACAAACACATGCCACAGGAATAATGGTACTTAATAGTATATAGTTTGCACTTTACCTGGTCTTCCATTCTCTCTGAGCCTTCTAAGACAATCTTCTGGACATTTTCTTGCCTTTCCTAAGAAAAAGCAAGTTTATATTTTAAAAAATACTGTTTGACACATGCTTATTTTTGAATGCAGATATGTTGTGTAATTTAGTTCAAAGGAAAAATACTTTCTACTATAGGGCAAAAAAGGGAAGGAGACTGGGTGTGGTGGTGCACACCTGTAATCCCAGCACTTGGAAGGCTGAGGCAGGAAGATCATTACCAGCCTTCGACACACAGTGAGCTCAAGGCCTGCTGAAACTGCATAGTGAGACCCTGTCTCAAAAAGACAAAAAAAAGGGAAGGAAACAGGAAATGAACTTAATAAACCAATGTTTTCTGATACTATAGAAAATAAAATCAGGGCTGGAGAGATGGCTCAGTGGTCTAAGGCACCTACTTAGAACAAGCTTGGCAAGGCATCAGGGACCGCGGTTCAATCCCCCAGCACCACATGCCAGCCAGCCCCGCCCCCTGGTGGGCTGAGCTGGCCACACACACACACCACACTCTCTCTCTCTCTCTGTCTCTCTGTCTCTCTCTCTCTCAAATAAATAAAAATAAAAAAAAAAAAGAAAATAAAATCAAAACATCTTTTATTTTGTACTGAAAAAGATAATTTAGCAGAAAATAGTCAACCTAACACCTATAGTTTCAACAAAGGAATATAATGATGCATATTTCTAATTAAATGAGATTAAGTTGAATGTGAGGAATATAGAGTTTTATTTTAAATAATTTTTTAATGATATTCATAAATGTGAGCAAGAAATTAAGACAGCAGATAAAAAACTATCAAATTAAAAATTTATTTTTCCTTATAATGGGTTAAAGTTTATAAAATTATCAATGTTTTAATAGGCTCTGTATTAAAGTGGAATATAAGAATTAGATCTGTTTTCTAGATATTTCAAAAGTACATCATTATTCATTATATATTAAGCTATAGGATTTAGTGAAAAACAATTCTAAACTTAGGCTTAGGCTTCAGCCTGGGCTGTAGCAGCCATAGAGAGCCACTAGTGTGGGTGATAGGCTCTACAATGACATCATAAAAATTTACCATTATTATGGTCTTCAAGGAATATTTTTTACAAGTCTGTGTAGTGCTAGGTCCTATACACAGGAAACAGCAGAATTTTGTATAGGGGAAGCCACAGTGTGGTGCTAACTCAACCATCTCTGTCTGACACAACACAGTCAAGTAAAAAACTTGCACATATAAAACATTCTATGTACTTATTTGAGTTAGTAAGAAACACGCAGAAATTATGAATAATATTTCAACTTACCGACATATGTGTGTATTCATATGAAAATAGCATTTATTGTTATAGCAAACATATAAATTTTTTTATTTATTAGGCAGTTTGTGTTATTTTCTGTAAGTTAAAATAGTTTTTTAGCAACTGTGGCTTAGGAAGCACAAAATATGTCAAATGTTTAAATTCATGATATTGTTACAGTTACATGTAAAACACTACTAATAATTGGGCTGAGGAGATAGCGCAGTGGTCTAAGCACCTGCCTAGGCAAGCACAAGGACCCAGGTTGAATCCCTGGTACTGCATGCTGAGCTGGCCCTGCTTTCAGGTATGCTGAGCCAGCCACAAAGACCAGGCTGCTGGCACATGCCTGTAATCCCAGTGCTGTGGAGGCTGAAACAGAAGGATCACTATGAGTCTGAGCTGTGTAGTGAGACCCTGTACAAAATACATTAAAAAAAAAAAAAGTTACATATACTAACTATATTACTTTATATGTGAATCAAGACTATTCTTTTCACTCATTGCTACCCAAAGAAGCCAAAATGCTGCATGATCATACTCCAGCTTAATGTGCAAGATTAAAAGGCCTTCCTCCTCAAACCATTTGGTCCAACCTCTTCATCTTACAATGGAAACTGGCAAAGAAGTTGAAGGGACCAAAGGCTACATGGCTGAGGACTTAGGAAATAACTGCTGAACTGCTATATCTAGACATAAATATAACTAAAAGACAAGATCATACACAAAAGAAAAATAAAAAGGCTTTAGAATCAAAGGCTTTCAAGACAAACTTAGACACTAAAAGTTTAATTTCTCAAGACATTAGCTTTCTGTTTGCAATGTAGAACTACCATCTTCTAATCTCTACAATTACTATGAGGATTATAAACATCCAACCAGACCTATCAGTATCTAAGAGGATGGGCACACAGTAACAGTTATTGCTTAGTGTTGAACCCAGGGCCTTTGCATGGAGCTACACTCCTAATCCTCTTCCTCTTTTTCATTTGAGGCAGGATCTTGCTAAGTCATTGCCCAATGATTCTCCTGCCTGCCTTCACCTTCCTGAATACTGAAATTATAGGTGCAAGCCACCATGCCTAGCCAAATGAATGTAACTTCTAAAAACTGATATAAATGTATCAGAAAAGAAACTTTCGATGGTCAGGTTAGCATGATGAATAAGCTGAAGAACCACTCACCTTATGCATCCATATCCTTCCTTTCCGAATAATGTGTGTTAATCTATCAACACACACTCTGTGAAGTGGAAGGTAGAAACTAAGTTCCGTTTGTGGAAGTATAATTGATAGTCCGTAAGTACTCCGATCTCCATTCCAGTTTCCATCAAAGATTAGGGAAACAATAATTACTCCTTTTTCAGACAAAACAAAAAACTTTACATCTATGGCTCCACTCTCTGCATTTCGAAGAATTTCTCCATTTAGGGTGTGGTTGGCAAGAAAAGTTATTTCTCCATCACTGAGAAGTACCTGTTCTGTCTTTGGAGCCCAAATGTGTCTTACTCTAGGACCAAGAATATTGTCCCAGTAAGCAAAGGTAGCTGCTAACAAAGGTGATTCACCGCTTAATGCAATCTCTGTCTTGGCAACAGCTGGAGATGGTGGCGGGCAGAGGGTCGACATCACTGCAACCTAACTCTCACATCATCCAATGCTCCAGAGACAGCTAAACAAAGACAGAAAGACCCACTAATTATGTTTAGTAACTTTAAAGATATTCAACCAAGTCCCAAATGACGGAGACAAATGTTATATCCTAAAGCTTGTACCACAGGCCCTCATTCTTCCCAAATATCCAGACTATGTGCACTTCTGCTATAGATATTTGATCCCTAAGCCATTGCAACTGAAGTGGCAAAAAGTGAAGGCTCAGCTAGAGATGGTGATAACTTTTTACAGGGTGAACTGTGTTCTCCCACAAAAAAGAGTATTTAAGTTCAAACTTCTCACATATGTGAACATGACTTTTTGTAGAAATAGCATAAATGGCATGGGGTCATACCAGACTGGAATAGGTCCAAATTCGGAGACTAGTGGGCTTAGGGGAGAGATGACATACACAGGTAGAAAGAGAAGATAGTTATATGAATATAAAAGACAGAAACTGGACTTATACAACTATAAACCAAGAATTTCAAAGATGCTGGTAACTGTCAGACATGAAGAGGCAAGGATGAAAACTTCACTAGAGTCCTCTTAGGATCATGTTTCTGCTAACACCTTTACATCAGACTTCTAGATTTCAACACAGTCAAAGAATAAACTGCTGCTGTTTAAGTCATCTAGTTTGGGTGCTTTGTCCCAGGATTGTATTCCCAGAAAAGTAATACCACATCTGACTACAGTAGAAATACTTTATGTCCTCTAAAAAGACAAGAAACAAACAAACAAACACACAAAAAACCAGATCTAAAAATCACAAAAACACGTCTGGTGCCATAACAAAAAATGAATAAATGGTCCTTTTTCCTTAATGAGCTTTCTGAGAGTCAAGGTATTGACACTCAGTACTGGTGCTTATTTTATTTATTTATTTATTTATTTATTTTTGAGATAGGGTCTTTCTACGTCATTCAGGCTGGCCATGAACTCATTATGTAGACCAGAGTGCCTGTGTTTAAAATATTGGTGTTTAACTGAAATACAACAATGAAGATAAGTGCATTTAATATATTAGTCAAGAGGCAGTATATCAGAGAAAACTCCTTAAACAAACAATGGCAGAAAAACTGTTTATCCAAATGCAGAAGAGAACAGGGGCTAGGGATGTGACTCAGTGGTAAAGTGTTTGCTTTGCACAAGGCCCTGGGTTTGATCCCCAGCAACACCAAACCCCCCCCAAACAAAAAAACCGAACAAACAAAAACACCAAACCCATAAACAAATGCAGAAGAATTACTCTAGACCCATATCTCTCATCCTGGTGGACTAAAATCGAATGAAAATAGACCAAAGACTTAGATACTAAAACAGAAACTGAATCTGCTAAAAATTAAAATAGGCAAAACACTTGAAAGCATAGGCATAAGCAAGAACTTCGGGAACAGAGCACCAATTGCACAAGCAATAATTCCAAGAATCAACAAATGTGGTTAAATCAAATTGAAAAGGTTTGGTACAGCAAAGGAAACAACAGCTTAAAGACCCAATCTACAGAATGGGAAAATTTTTTTGGTAAATACTCCTTGTTTAAAGGACTAATATCTAGAATATATGTAGAAGAAAAGCCACTGGATTCCCATCACCAAAACCAAAAGATCCAATTAAAAAAAAGGGCAACTGAAATGAACAGACATTATTTAAAGGGAAAAGTACAAAAGGCTAACAAGAACACTGAAAAATGCTTACCATGTTTGGCCATTAGAGAAATATAAATAAAAATAATACTGAGATTCAATCTTATGCCATCCTGGACTAAATTAAGGACACATAAAAAAAAACAAATGCTGGCCAGAATGTGGTAGGAAGGTTAAACTACATTGATGGTAGGAATGTAAACTGTGGTATAAAAACCACTACCACAATTAGTATGCAGATTCTAGAAAACAAAACAGTAAACTAAAAATAATTCCATTTGACTCAAGTATACTGCTTCTGGATATTTTCCTGAAAGAATTAAAGTCATCATATTATGTAATACATGTACACTTACCTTTACAGCAGAACAATTTACAATATCTAAATTTTGGAAACAACCTGAAGCCTATTAACAGACTAATAAAGAAAATGTGGTGTATGTCTTATTTAAAAAAACCTGAAGCTGTGAAACAGTAGTAATGAATGACTCTATGGTTTGTATGATAGCTTTGGGAGGTATACTTGATTAACATAAAATTTATGTCAAAATAAACTATTTTACTTAAAAATTTTTTCTTATTTCTTTATCAAAAAAGTGTGCAGAGTCTTATAAATCACATTTTTAGACCGTCAGCTAAGTATTTTTATCATGTTATGACTATATACAGAACCTGGTAAAACATTCAATTATACATATGTGTACAAATAGTATTAGAGTTTTCACATGCATATTTTAACCTCAGAAATTCATTTAAGCAATATTTACTTTTTTGTCTTTTTCTTAATGTATTTAGTATAGGGTCTACAAGGTCTCACTACACAGATCTGACTCATAATGATCCTCCTGTTTTCAGCCTTCCAAGTTCTAGGATTATAGGCACACTCCCACTACACCAAGTCTCATTCACTGTCTTAGCGTGCCTGGGGGCAGGGTCCGCATGGCAGGCTGGGGATTGAACCCTGGTCCCTGTGTCTGCCTAAACAGGAGTTTTAATCCACTGAGTTATCTGGCTGGGCCTAATAATTACTTTTTAATATTGTAAACAATCCTAGGACAGGACAGTGGCTGTAAGTTACATACAGTTTGTTTAAAATATCCATTGTTTTGGATGCAATTTATTTATTTATTTATTTTTTGGTGGAACCAGTCATTGAACTCAGGCCTCTGAGCTTGACAGGGAAGCGCTTATTCCATTGAGCCATCTTCCCGGCCCCACTGGATGCAATTTAAACAACCTATGTAAAATGAAAGAATATAGGAATGTAATTTGAATTGAAACTATATTGATGCTATTGCTGTCACTGCTAACAACAACAAACTAGAGGCTAAGATAAAGGGAGTAAATGCCCAGCAGTAAATTTATATTGTAGATATGTTTCTTTTATTCTTTTTGGATAAAATGTTGAATAAAGGCAACAGTATAACTCAAATATTCCATCATGATACTGAAAATAAAACTATTTGTTAAAACAACTGAGCTCTAGAGTAAAATCTGACTGAATTATAGGACAATTTTTTTAAACTGATTGTGAATACTGAACTATTATAGGTCGCTAATTATATTCAGTCTCATTCCTAGTTCTGTATAATTAGAAAGAAAATGAAGGATAAGAATCATGTTGAATTGTTTAGCTTTAAATGCTGCCAAAAGACATATGGTAGTTGTCCCTTACAGTTAGGGATATATTCCAAGAATCCCACTGTATGCCTGTAACTGCAGGATTAGTGTCTAACGTTATACATTTTTCTTTAAATACATACAAATGATAAAGACTAACTTATGAACTAAAGATTAACATAACATTATGCTATAAGAGTTATGTGACTGTGTTCTCTTTATCTCAAAGTATCTTCCTGTCTAGTACTCACCTTTCTCTTTGTGAGGATGGGAGAGAATGCAATCTCTACATAATGAAATGAAGTGAGATATATGGCATATACATTGTGATTTAGTGTTAGACTACTGTTGACGTTCTCAGGATATGTCAGGAAATAGAGCATGTGTTTCAAGTGATCCTAGATCACTGAACCATGGAATTATCAATGATCGGATGTCAGGAGAAGACAACTACGCTCATAGTTGAAGATCCTTCATAGTTGAAGGTTTGTTTTGTTTTTTGTCAAAATCTTTTGGAAGAACATTGTAATTCAAAGTTATCTCTTTTTTTGGGTTCCAGCCAGATAGCTCAGCAGACTAAAGCGCCTGCTTAGGCAGATACGGGGACCAAGTTGGATCCCCAGCATGCTGTGCTAGCTCTGCCCCTGGGGTGCACGGAGAGAGCAACTGAGACTGAGTCTGTTGGCATGTGCCTATAATCTCAGTGCTTGGGAGGCCGAAAACAGGAGGATCACTGAGCCTGATCTATGTAGTGAGACCCTGTACTAAGTATTTAAAAAAAAAGTTATCTCTTTTTAACTAATTGGAGTTCTGTGGCAGAGGTTGTAATCTTTTGGATAATGGTGCATTTTATCTGAGGATTATAGTCCATAATTTTGTACTCTAATTTGAAATAATTGAGCAAATTTTAGAAGTGTCCACTTTGCTGGTTTTTAGTTTCTTCTTTTTTTTTGGGGGGTACTGGGGATTGAACTCGGGTCCTTTTACTTGCCAGGCAAGTGTTTATTGTACTGAGCCATCTCCCCAGCCCCTTTAGTTTCTTCTTTGTCCTTCCTCTTTCTCTGTAGATTATTAAACAAATTCTTCCAACTAATTTGTTAAAACTTCCCAATGGCCTTTCACAAGTTCTTCCACTTCCTCAACCATACTGACAAATCCTCTACCAATTTAACTTACTGCTTCTCCAATGATTTTAGTATGTTCAGTCCAAACCTATTCCTTAATCTGTGTAACTGTCTCTTCCTTGTAGTAAATGACTTGCTGTTATTTTTTTCAAAAGAACTCTTGCTGAAGTATACGTCCAGTGCTCCAGTGCTTTCTACTGCAACACGCTACCATCAATTAGAATGTATCTTCTGTTCTTTCACTTACAAATTTATTTATTTTTTCACCTACAAATTTAAATCCTGCTCTATCTTAACTAAACATTTATGTATGGCAGCCATAATTCTTATAATATGAAGGGTGACAGCAGGACTAGCATAAAATATTTTTCCTTCTTCAGAAGATTCACTCCTCCTGTAGATCTCAACAACCTAGGCATCTTTCCTTATTGAGAACTTCACCTTTCACTTAAAGAAGCACTTTAGTTTCTCTTTGCCATATCTGAATTGCCAGCGTCACAACTCCCATGCTTTTACCCACTATTAAGAAGAGCAAGAGTTACTTGATCACAAGCACTATAATGCTGTGATAGCTGAGCAGATAACTAAGTTGGCAATTAAGAGACTAACAGGCAGGTGGAACATACAGTATAGGTACACTGGACAAGGGATAAGTCATGTTCTAGGTGAGACAGGACAGACAGACACACTTTGTCCAAGCACACTATTCAGAATGGCATGCAATTTAAAATTTATACAATTATTTTTGGAACTTTTCATTTAATATTTTTGGATCATAGTTAAAAAGTGGGTAGCTGAAATCATAGGGGTGTGTGTGTGTGTGTGTATGTGTGTATGATTTTAGCCTAAATAAATGAAGTGCCACAGAGAAGTATAATTAAAACATTTGAAGTTGTTATCATTGGTGAGGATGACAGACTCCACACTGGGTGAGATAATGGCTTGTTACCCTATAAACAAAGCAGTGTTCATGAGGGTTTACCTAATATGCTTTCAAAAAATAATCCAACATGTAGACATATGAATATGCTAATTGCCACCTGCTAAAACTGTTAGCAGAGTGGTAAATTTAAGCTTTTGCTTTTTATTGAACTCTCTGCTGAAAATCAACCATCTCTTCCCTTATTGGTACTCAGAACTTTGACTGGTCCACTGCTACTATGAATCACATTTCTACCCTCTTAAGGCTTTTCCATCTTATACCAATATTTTTATTTCTCCCAGTCCTAAAAGGAGCAGAGTCCTAATCTAGCCCACCTTCCAAATCAGAGGCTGCCCAGCCCCACTTTAGGAATAGCGACACCAGCCTATTTGCAGCACTTTCTAAATTTCCAACACAAGGCTCAGAACTTCAGAGGAAGTTCATGATACCTCTGTCTGGCCCTGCCACACTGTTTAAGTTCCTCAGATAATAAGCAGGTCAACTCCTTGAGCTCAGTCAATGCAGAGTACAAGAGCAAGCATAAAAGACAGGAATCTTTTAGAGGTTTTTGTATTACTTTGTTCTCTGAAAGCAAATTTGAACTTCCAGCACAGCCCCAAATAAAGCAACTATTTTATCAACTAAGTTGTATGCATTCATTTCCCGAAGTAGATAAATCTACAATGTGGTTTGTAATTTCTCTGATTTTTGTTTCATGCATATGAAAAGCAGAATCACCTTGAAGCCTTTTCAACCAATTCAGGTATTTTCAAGAGTGGCAGGAGTAGGAGGCAGTGGTTAACATTTCCCATTTGTAAACAGAATCACACTGTAGTCCCCCTATGTACAATTTTTCTGTGTTTTTAGATACTTGTGATAAACTTTGGCTTAAAAGTTAAAATAAAAACTTCTAGAAGAAAACATTTCATAAAATTGAAGTAGCATGCCATTCTGAGGAGAGACTGAATTCTCATGCCGTCTGCTTCATGGGAGTGAATCATCATTTTGCCCAGCATACCGATGCTGTAAATACTACTTGCCCAGCAATACTCTCAGTTATCCAATCGACTCTCCAGGTACCACAGTATTCATGTTCAAGTAAGTCTTATTTTTTTTTAATAAAGGTGAAAAAAAAATAAAAGTGAAAGTACAATATGACATTGAGATAACTTTTATGCAAATTTTATTATTGTATTTTGTTCTAAATGTTCTATTCATAGCTATTGTCAATCCCTTACTAATTTACAATTTAAATTTTATTACAGGTCTGTATGTAAAAGGAAAAACAGACTAGACAGGGTTCTACAGTACATAGCCACTATATAAGGTTTTAGACTTCACTGATGGTTTTCTTACACATCCTCTAAGTATAAGCAAGAACAACTTCATTTCTTGGTCCTATGATGTACCCAAATAGAAGTTTTCCAAAGTCTTCTAAAGATCCTAACAACATTTTCCTTTCTTTTGAACCCTCTGTACAAAGTACAAGTAATGCTAGATAGATGTGTCCCCTTGCAGCACCAGTGATGGCCGGGAACAGGAGGAACAGGGCTGCTGATGTAAGAGTCGAGCAGTCTCTGCGCGGCTGAAAGGGTCACCCCTCCTTGGCAAGGGCGCAATTTTCTTCCTTTTTCTGAATGCTGACACACACTGTGTAATCAGTGCACTTCTCTCTGCAACTGATTACCGTCACTCATGGTTGCCCAAATCACAGTGGTCACTTCCTTTAATAAGTTCTCAACCTCTGCGCTGTGTGGCAATCAGGTCTCGTCCCACAGAATAGAGTACACGCTGCCCTGTCACTGCCGCCCACTTTTACAAGACATCAGCACTCCTTGCAAACTTCTGACACCCCGCAGGCCCGCAGCGCGTCCCCACACGCCATCCTTCTCGCGGGACCCCTGCGCTCCCGCGTCGTCTCGCCCCGGCTCCCTCCTCCCCCTCCACAAGGCCTCGGACGCCCCGGGCGTCTTTCTCTGGGGTCCCTGGCGGCTCTCCAGCTAGGTCCCGGGCAGGGACCGGCTCGGGGACTGCGGACCGAAAGCTGGGCCCGTCGCAGTCTGGGCGCCTGGCCCTCCTGCAGGTGACTTCCCAAGTCGCCAGGTTGGAAAGCCCGCCGGCCGCCCCCGCCCCGTCAGGGAAGCTAGGGGAAAAGAGACCGAGGCAAGCGCTGAGGAGAAAACCCGCGGCCACCTGCCCGCCGCGGAGCGCCGACGTCCCCAAAGCCCAAGTCGGCCAAGTCCCCCACTCACCCACTCGCCGCCACCGCCGCCGCCGCCTCCGACTCCGCCGCGGGCGCCGCGACCGCAACCGCAGCCCCGCCCCCAGCCCCGCCTTTAATTAGCAGCCGGGGCAAGGGGGGAGGGGCAGGGAGCCCGGAGCCGCCCGGGCTGCGCCCCTCCCAGGGCCCCG